CACAGTACTGAGACTGCATTACTGAGAGTAATGAATGATATTCTTTTAAAGATGAACTCCCAACATGTAACGTTATTGGTTCTATTGAATCTTAGCGCAGCATTTGACACAGTGTCCCACGATGTGTTGCTCGATCGTTTGCATAATGATGTTGATTTACGTGGGAATGCTCTCAAATGGTTCCACTCCTATCTTTCTCAAAGAAGCCAGCGGGTATATTTCGGAATATTTCGGTAGGTGATTGTGATATTTATCCTAGTTCCTGTGTTAGAAATCTCGGTGCATGGTTTGATAATAAGTTGTCTATGTCAACGCACGTTAATAAAATTTGTAATTCCGCGTTTTATCACCTACATAATATTAGGAGGATTAAGAATTATTTATCTCGCGATTCGTTATTAACGCTTATTCATGCTTTTATCACTAGTCGTTTAGACTATTGTAATGGACTTTTGTATGGCCTTCCTAAGTCGCAAATAGCCAAATTGCAACGTGTGCAGAATGCTGCGGCTAGACTTGTACTGAGTTTAAGTAAGTATTCGCATATTTCTCCTGCGCTTTGTCAACTTCACTGGTTACCAGTACAACATCGTGTTCATTTTAAGATCATAATTTTAACATTTAAAGCTATTCATGGATGGGCGCCTAGATGATCTTTAGAATTCATCGACTGGCGACGTCATCAGGGAATTGCTCAACACTGATCATGGAGCTTGAGAAAAATTGGAACAGTTTTCGTTAAGCGGCTCAGGTGATCATCACAGCCGATCTATATTCTATTTCACTTTATTGATCTATTTTTCTATCCGTGGCATTCTGCATCAAGTTTTGTCACTCAGGCCAGTATCCCCTTTTCTTAGAAAAAAAATCAATGAAAGATTGGAATCCTGAGATCCTGAAAGCTCCTGCATAATCATTTCACAACTGGCCTCCCTTCTCCAATGAAACATCCTTAAAATTTCAACCCCAGATTTAGCATAAATGCCGATAAACTTAACTGATCATATCAATTTACTTTTGCTAAGAGGGCTTGGTATGTAGAGATACCAAAGTATGAATTACTGATAAGTGAGTGAGAAAATTTAAGGTACTTTTTCTAACGAAGAGCCCTAAACCGGGCTCTAGAGGAAACTATTTAGAGTTATGGTTTTGATGGCAGAGCGGCCTTTTAGCTGTTGGGGGAGACGTCCTTGTATTTTGCAAATGGGGATATCCGCTGGATGGAGTCGCATCTTCAACGACTGGAATGACTATAAGGGGGTTGCGTTTTCAAAAGAGTTACTAGAATGGGGTTGCACATTTTCGGGATTTTACGGGAAAGAAAACCAATTAAGAATTGACTATAGTAGGAAAAGGGTTCAGAGAGGCCAGCGGTACATACCTAGAAAAAAATTGAAGAAAGTGAACCCCTCTCCCTTCCCCTCGTGCTTTTTACTTCGATTTATTCTGGAAGAAATCTAAACCGTAAAGAAAGAGACTTGCATGTGGATGTGGGTGTTCTAGGCCATGTTTCCTTTTCTATTAACAAGGATTCATTTAAAGCAAGAGATAATCTTCTTTTGCTTGAAGCTAGGAATTGAAAAATTTAATTTTTGTCCTTTTTTTTTTGTCTTTTTTTTTTGTTTATTCACATGTACCCACAGTCCTTGTACATATTCACAGTCCTTGGTTAATATACTTAGCCGTTTAATGTGGTCCTTCACATTTAAGAGAAGCTATAAACATTATACCATAAATAATACCATCTAAACTACTCAAATTATAAAGAGATGTTTTATGTACAAAATGCTAAATAATCTCTACCTTAAAAACTGAAACTTTTGGTTCCATACTAAAAAAGAATATTTAAATATACAATCTAAAGTTTTTCGTCAGAGTTGTCACTTCTCAAACGACAACTTCAAATTTTATCAATTAGATTATATCTACATCACATTCTGAACTATTTCATTAAACTAAAAAAGAGATTATACCCTCAAAAAAACTACCTTACTCGTAAAATAATTTCCTTCTGAAAGTTGTGTAGGGTATTACTTAACTTGTTCTTCATAAAATCATCAGCTGAAAAAATTATTGGTTCGAGTACAAATTGTGCCTAAATGATTTTTCAGGTTAAGTATAATTAAACTAATTTGAAAGAAAATACGGTAGTTTTTACAACACTTAAATCTGCCTCAGAGAACTAACAAGGTAACCAGGAGAGAGCATTTTCAAGAAGCTGCTAAATAGTACTTTTAAGACTATTAACAGAAAATATCATCTGCTATTAAAATAAAGCAAACATATTGACAACTTATTTATTCGTCAATAGTTCATGTAAAATGTTTCAAATTTTGTCTTTCAGAAGACAAACTTTAAGATATTCATTAACCACTGAGAGTCGTTAAAAGATCGACAGCTGATGACAAGTCATTGACGTGACATAACCTACCAAAACGTCATTTAGCTAAGAAACAAACGTTGAAAAATAATTCTATCCTTAATAACAACGAAATTAATATTATTACATGACAGACCAGATAGTAAACAGGAGGAGCCTCTGACTAATTGGGACGGGAAAGTACCAGGCCTCCTCTGACTAATTGGAAAGGGAAAGTACCAGGCCTCCTCTGACTTCCCAGTCAGTGTCAGTTATCGCTTCAGACAAACACTGTTTGCCCACGTCTGTTACCTTCCAATTGCCTCGGAGGCCTAAGCTTCTCAGTTTGCAGTTGGTATCGGTGATTGCTTTGCACAAGTACTTAATTCCTTCATGTCCTATTTTATTGTAACAGACGTCTAAGCTCGTTAACATACAGTTCTTGTTCGCTAAAGTTCTAGCTAAGTCCTTTAATACTCTATCCCCTAATCTGTTACGACCGACATTTAAGCCGGTTAAGTTGCAGTTACTGCTTGTCAGAAATATAAACAAGTACATTAACCTTTTATCCCCAAAGCCATTGTCACTTGCACTCAAGCTGGTTAACTTGCAGTTCACACTGGTTAGCGCCTTACACAAGAGCATCATTTCTTTGTCTCCTAACGCACAGTCACTGACGTTTAAGCTGGTTAGCTTGCAGTTTACACTGGTTAGCACCTTACACAAGAGCATCATTTCTTTGTCTCCTAACGCACAGTCACTGACGTTTGAGCTGGTTAACACGCAGTTCACACTGGTTAGCGCCTTACACAAGAGCATCATTTTTTTGTCTCCTAACGCACAGTCACTGACGTTTAAGCTGGTTAGCTTGCAGTTTACACTGGTTAGCACCTTACACAAGTGCATCATTTCTTTGTCTCCTAACGCTGAGTCACTGACGTTTAAGCTAGTTAGCTTGCAGTTCACACTGGTTAGTGCCTTACACAATTACATCATTTCTTTGCCTCCTAACCCATTGTCACTGACGTTTAAGCTACTTAATTTGCAGTTACCACTTGTTAGCGCGTTACACAAGTGCATTATTCCTTCATTTCGCAACGAATTGTTACTGACGTTTCAGCTGGTTAAATTGCAGTCCCCACTGATCAACGCTTCACACAGGTGTCTCAATTCTTAATGTTCTAAACCACTGTCACTCAGGATCGAGCTGTTTAGGTCACTCTTAGTAAGAGTTGTACTCAAGTCCTTCACGCCTTCATTAGATATCCGACTCCTGGAGAGGATTAATCTGGTTACATTCCAGTCCCTGTTGGTGAACGCTTTATACATTGTTGCAAAATTAGGGTCGTATTTTGTTGGCCACGCCCTCAATATGCCTGACGTTGAACTGTATAAATGTTGAATCCTTTCGTCTTCGTCCCACACTTTATGAGACCAGCCCCTTGGCAGTTTATGTGAACGAAGCTCATCCATAAACAGCAGAATCACTTGCCATGCACCTTCTCTGATATGAATGGTTAAGAATTTTTTCAGTTCGTATTCATCCACTGCTTCTGCTAATTCTGTCCAGGCATGAGGCGATTGGAGTACTGAAGGATTAAAACGAAAGAAATATTTATTTGTCCTTTTATGTTTGAAACTAATAAAAACCGTCGGTTGTTTTAACAAGGTTTAGTACCTCGCCTACGTATACCAAGTTTAGGTGACTCTGTTAATAAGTAGCTGACATAGCTCTGGAGTTCCTTGGGTAAACTGACATCAAACTTCGCCAGTCCTGATCTAATGGTCGGATACATAGTAGCTATGATAAAGGACATACAAAAAGTAAAAAATATTTCAGTCACATTCTCAGTTCAAAGAAATTATTATAAAAATGTGGAACTACTATTATAGACAATGTTATCACAGATTTGGACAAAGCACCGCGGACACGCTTTATGTCAAATTTACATTCGTCGTTCAAAGATAACACCGACATGTTATGACTTGAATTAATACTACTGTTGGCAAAGTTAATAGCCTCTGGTGGTGCAGTGTAGTTACTGTGACCCGAAGCTGACTTCAACAAAGGCTCTTTAAAGTTCGACAGACAAAATTAAAGTTACCAACTGCATTTAAACACCTTGTACTAAATTTAGCAAGACATGATGCTTGCAAGACCTTCCTCACATCGAGGGGTGTAAATAGATACAATTGAAAATGCCCGAGCAATCTGATAAAATGTTAGAGTTGTAACCAAGATTCACTGCAGTATTGTTCGGTGTACAGCAGCATTACATGCCCCTGGCGAGCGTGCAAATCCAAAGTGCTACACGAGCACACAACGCAAACGTAACACGGGTAGCACGTAATAGTACCTAGTAGAAAAAGTTGAACGTTTCTAGGATCAGGATTACCTTATCCTGAGATGAAAATTATTTTTTAACAAACACTAAGAAGAAATTTTCTTCATCCTGCTCTTTTTTTTTTTTTTCACTTTTCTTTTGCATTTTTTTTTTCTAGTTCAATAGCGTGTTGTCTTCTTACTACACGACGGCTCGTGGCTGGGTTGCCAGGATCTGCCACCCTGGAGAACTGTCTCCATCTAACCGCTGACCGCTGAGTGCCAAAAGAGGAACGTAACTGATGTCTTAGGCCTCCAATGAGCATAGCAGGAGTTGAGTGGAAAATGATAATTCGATAAAGAACTGGAAGTGTTTTACTATATTTATTTTCTCTCCAAATGTGTATTATTAATTCACCTTCCATGCTTTCTTTCTGAAGTCTCTTGAGAAGTTCTTTTAGTTCAAATTCAATGGTGTGGAAAACAAGGAGAGGTGAACTACCTGACAAAAGAAGTAAAAACGGAAACGGTTTCTAACATTAAGCATTATTGATTGATAATAATATATCAGATAAAGTGTTACATCGATGCTTTGTAATTTGTAGGTAGGACTTAAATATATAAGTCAGAGCAATGTGCTAAATGTCCCCTTGCATTAAATGGTAAACCATCATTCCATTCTATTCCATTATCTGGTACTTTGGCTTCAAGTGTATGAAATTATTTTGTTTATTACATATAAGTCGTCTGAGAAAGAAGAAAACAGCAAATACAAAACCATTTAGCAGTCCTATATAACAAAGAGAAGAGTTTTCACCTTAAAGTTTGGGACTTAAGAAATCAAGTCTAATGGACATAAACCAATACAACCATTTCCTTGCTTCACTTTCCATACTTAGTTTGCCCTGTTCAATATAACCAATATGCATGATTCACTCACCTTCGCTTCTTTGTTTGGTATTTTTTCAAGTAGTTCTTTTAGTTACATTTTAAGATAAGCAGTGGAGAGTTCAGGCGGTGGCAAAGTACTTGAAAGGAAAGATACACAGTTAAGTCCCTGCTCAGGT